GTGTCAGGATGATGAGCATCACAGAATGTCAGGTTGTTAGAACAAAGTGTTCTTGTGTTGAGGGAGGACTTGAGTAGAGGCCCAAAGTCCATCCAGTTCCTCAATATATTGCCATATAAATAGATGTACATAGGCCAATACCTCTATTTTTATGAAGTAATTTATTTACATATGTACACACCTAGGTTTATACCTCTATCCATAGCTTTGCTTCTTAGAACTTTTCGAAACAGTGTTTAGGTGAGAAGGACATTATATTTATTTATGAACCCAAACTCCATAGCCAAACTAACAGCCTTCAAGTCAATTATAACCCACGAGGGTTTCTGAGACTGTAAATCTTTATGGGAGGAGAAAGCTTTGTTTGTCCTGTATTCATGCACAGATGTGAAGAATTCTAGGAATTGGGCTCCATGGGTAGGATTATAGTAATTGGGTGCATGAGCAACATGTGTTTAAATATGGAGTCCACTTCTGGGTCGGCTGTCATCACTTCTTATGGGATGGTGCTGATTTGAATCATCTGTTCTGGTGTTCTGGGTTTCAAGTCCAGGTCACAGGTGTCTGGATTGCTCTTGCTCCTAGGAATAGTTTAAGTTGGTCAAATACGTTAATGTTTCAAAGCAAGGGTGTAGAACTTACATGGGAGAAGAACACATTATTCTTTTGGGGTGGGAGGAAGAACATTGAAAGTAATGCAGACTATTATAATATGCCACAAGTTAAAATATTAACTATATGTGGGTGTGATTGAGCCTTTGTGTATTAGCATGGAGAACTTCCTCAAAATCAACTGAACCTGAAAAATGGAGGTGCAAGCATCCATTCTCTTTTCTAATTTGACTCAATATTTTGGTATTAGGCTAATGCAGACCTCATTAAATGAGCTGAGAGGGGTTTCCTGCTTTTTGGAAAGATATTGCATAGACTGGTTTTATTATCTTTTTCCTTTCAAGGTGTGGTAAATAATGCCAAGTGTGGCAAAATACAAAATAAAGCCATCTGGAAGTGATACTTCCCCACTCTCAAGAGGTTTTAAAACTTCAAAATCAGTTTCTCTATTATAATAACCCACTGCCACCAAGTCAGTTTTGATTCATAGTGACCCTATAGGACAGAGTAGAACTGCCCATATAATTTTGGATGAGTTTTGATAATTTGTAGTTTTTGAAGAATTAGACCATTTTATACAAATTATTGTTCTTATGTGCACAGAGTTTGTAGTATTGTCTTGATATCTTTTAAAATATATGTGGCATCTGCCATAAACTCCTCTCAGCCTCACTCTGAGAAACCCTGGGAGCCTATGCATAGAGGTTACACAGGGCTGCTAACCACAGGGAAGGCGTTGGAAACCACCAGTTCCGAGGGAGAAGGAGGAGGAGGCTTTCGACTCTGGTAAAGAGGGCCATTTCTGTCCTCGGCTGTCGGGTCACTGCAGTTGGAATTGCCTCTATGGCAGTGAGTGGTTTGGGTTTAGTCTTAATATTGGGGATTTGCATTTTTCTTTTCTTTGTCCTGCTATAAGTTTATCAACTTATTTTTTTTTTGCTTCTCCCACCCCTAGAAACAACTTTTGATTTAATTGCTCTTTTATTTCTCTATTTCCAGTTAAACAAAATTTACTCTAATTATTTTTCCTTTTGTATGAGTGAGCTGATTTTCTTGACATTTTATAGTTTTTTGAAGTGGTACTCTAGGTTATTAATTTTAGAACCTCTCTCCATCTAAACGTTTAGCACTATGTATTTCTAAATGTTGTTTTAGCTATAGCCCAAAGATTTCAATATGTTATATTTCCCTTTGCCTTAATTTCAGTATGTTATCTAATTTGTAATGTGTGTCTCGCTTGGTTTCCAAATCTTTTTGAGATTTTCTCTTTATCTTTCTGTTGGTGATTTCTAATTTGATTGTTTTATGAACAGAGCATGCACTCTATATGAAGAATGAGCTTCATTTAAAAAATGTACCCTAGTTCTATTAAATTGGTTAAGAGGTTTGTTTTGTGACCCATCCTATTGTCTGTTTTGGTGCTTGTTATATTTGTGCTTGAAAAGAATGTGTATTCTACTTGAATTAGGGTTGAATGTTTTATCAAACAGGAGTTAAAGAGGCTGTTCAGGCTTTCTCTAATTTTACTGATTTTTAATTTAATGGTTCTATCACTTAGTGAGTAAGGGCTCTTAAAAACCCCAAACAAATTTTGAATTTGTTTCTCCTTTTAGTTCTATCAGTTTTTTCTTCATTTTTGCAATACTCTTATTAAATGTTTGCATATTTAGATAGAATTGTTGTCTTCTTCGAAACCAGTCAAAGATAACATAAAAACCTTATATTGTCTTTCATGAACAGAGATATAAAAATTCATAACCCAATCTTTCCATTTTCATTTGCCATCATGCCAGTTCCAACACATGACAAGCCCATGTGGTTCTGAGTAGAACAGTGCTTCATAGAGCTTCTATTGGCCCCTGGTTTCAGAAGCAAATCATAAGATCTTTCTTTGAAAGCACTTGCCTTAACCATTTGTACCACCCAGGAATTCAGTAAAGTTTGCTAACTCTAACAGCAGTATATTAAAAGAATAATACATTGTGACCAAGTGCAGCTTATCTTATGAATATGTGGTTGATTTTAAATAAATAAGTAAATAATCATATGCTTGTAACAGTATGCAGAAAATAACCATTAAGCAGTATTCCGTATTATCCATGACCCTTTTTCTCCCTAGCAATGAAATTATTAATTTTCTCTTTGAAAACGTAAATCATCCACCTGACTTACTGATCACATGACCATGACATTACTATGTTATCGTCTTAGCCGACGTGAATGTTCTGATCTTGGTCACTCTTGTTCATTTCAGGAACGCCCTGGCTTATCAACTCTTCAAAAGAAAGGATCAGTTGACAGTTTATGCCCTTCTTACTTTCCTTTCACTTTCTTTTATTATTACTGTTTTGCCTTTGTAAACTTTGTTTTATTCTCCTTAGGAAAGACAACAATAAAGAAAAGAGCACCACAAAATGACATATTGTAACATATAAAACATGAAATACCTATACTCAGACTTTGAAATATCAACATTGTTTCTTGAATCTTTAAAAAAGTTTTTTTTTAAGTTTTATTGACATGTAATTTGTATATCAAGCAGTTCAATGGTTTAAATACTTAAAACAGTTGTGTACTCACCACCACAATTTATTTTCTTCTTTGTTATACTCATTATTATTAGCTCCTTGTTTCTCCCCAACCTCCCCTGCCATAGCCCCAAGAAACTATCAATGCAATTACTGTCCCTATAAATATACCTATCCTGGATTTCATAAAAGAAAAACATACAAAAAAACAAAAAAAAACAAACAAATACAAAACCGAAAGCAGCAACAAACCAGAAAAGCCTCATTCAAAGGAATAAAATGATAAAAAGTGGAACCAATTTAAAATGAAAGGGAAAACAAATGATCAGGTATTGAATTTTAAACTAATTACGTCTACATTCGTCCAGTTTTTCAGTGCACTCTGTGTGATAGCAAGGCTGCTCACAGCTCTGGTCAGTGATCATGAGGGGATTCACTGAAGGCTTAATCCATGTGGGGACCCGTAGATGGATTTTAGGCTTTCACTGTCATCCATAGCCTTCTTTAAGTTGGGTGTTCAGAATTTAAGGTCTAATACTGTTTTGTCTTCTGGTCTTAGATTTTATTATTTACAATCCTTGGATCACAAAGGCTGGTATGCTTCTTGCATTTGGACTTAGTTGACACCTCACTTAGATTTCTAATCTTTCCCAATAAAGTGATAATGATGTTGCTAAAGTGGACCAAGGACATATATAAAACATAGGTATATGAATGGATTTTGAGCTTGTACTTAATTTTAGCCCTAATATAAAAATAGTTCTTATGACATGGCTCTATTTAATATTCGCCCTCATGAAGAGATCACTGCAGATATGAGTGCTGCAGCAAACTGTGGTGAAGAAAGCAGATGAACGCTAGGTATCAGAAAGAATAGCACAAGGATCTTTTCACCTTCCATTAGTTCTCAATATGATTTGTTTAGGAAAACATGTTAAATGATGCATATTATCTATTACAGTGAACTGTATTAGAGATTATATTAGATATTTTTGGTCCTTATTTATATTTATATATATATGTAATTAAAATAAACCTTATTTAAAAGGCATCTTTGTAATAACATTTTTTCCTCTTGCAAATATAGGAAGTTCACAAATGGGTGCTACTATAGTAGATGCTTTGGACACTCTTTATATCATGGGCCTTTATGATGAATTCCGAGATGGGAAAAAATGGATTGAAGACAACCTTGATTTCAGTGTGGTGAGTATAGAATTGATAATCTCTAGAGTGACTATGAAAAGACTGTCTGATCATAGTTGTTTTAGAACATTATACTTTCAAATTAAGGAACCCCTGATACTAAGATCCTTTTCTTCTTTAAGGATGATCCATTATTTAATTTTTACTTAAAATTGTTTTTTTTACTATCCTCCATTTACCATGAACATTTGAGGCAATGTGGTATGTAAATTATCTAGAAATATTACCAAACCATAAAATGTTTAATTAATAATAAGGGCAAAAATTTTTTGTAATCGTTTGATGCAGTTTTGGTGAACCCTTTGTAATTAGGCTTATGCCCATCTATTCCAACTGTACTTCTCAATGGGCAAGGTAAGCACATCCCAACTTTATTACTAACTGCATGGTAAAGATCGTCATGAATCCAATTCCCACTTATAACTGGAACCAAAAGCTTCACCTGTCCTGCATCTTCATGATTCATATTTTCAGTCTTGTCTGTGTCACTTCCTTTCTTAACCTAATCACTTAGAGTTAGGTCAGCCTATTCCTGGTCACCCTGAGACAGGTAGAAACATTCTGGGCTACCTGGTACTTGTTAGAGATATAGATTCAGGATGCTTGCATAACTCTGTACTTCAGAACAACTGGCCTCTTTCTCTATTCTGTAAGGGTTAGGTCACAGGTAGAAGGGTGCTTTCTTTCTTCATTGACTACCTGTATTGCCTTTCCTTGACCATCAGCCACTAATAGCTGGGTCTATACAAGTTACAATTCTGTTCTGCCAGCGCCTGCTGGCTCATTGTCCCCTGTAAGGTTTATTAATTCTCTGTGACAGCTCACAAAATTCATGGAGATTATTGCCTATACTTAGTTAAACTTTTATTGAGTTTCTTCTGTGTGGTCTTAGCTGACACTTCACTTAGATTTATAGTCTTTACCAATAAAATGATAATGATATCTCTAAAGTGGACCAGGGGCATATATAAACTATAGGAATATGAATGGAGTTTGAGTTGGCAGTTACATGTAACCCTAATTTAAGAACAACTGATGTAACCCTACTCATTACTTGTCCTCATGAAGAGATCAGGAATGAGCTGTTTCTCTCTCGTATGGATGTTTTCAGCAATCCAGAAAGCTCCAAAAGGAAACTTACCAGTTTCTTGTAATCACTGGGGCCTTAATGCATATACATGACCCAATGAATATGTGTGATTGATTATGTTACACCTCTGCCCCTTCCTGAGGTTTGTTGTCAAGAGATAAATTCAGAGCCCCTAAATAAATTCAGATTTGCATATGTATAAGTGTTACCTGGCTGTTTTAGAAAAACAAAGACATTTTGAATGCTTGAGAAATTCCAAATTATATTCCAGAAGCAGAGACAAAGGTCAAACTGAGTGCTTTGTCCTGCACAACATCAATCTAGCATTTTGGAATACTGGTAGTTCTTAAGTGGGACTCTTTAGATTTGAAGCCCAGGAACAGCTACATTCTACATGCAGTTTTATAAAGTTCTGTATTCATTTTAAATTGTCATAGAATAAAAGCTCTGGCACTCTGTAAAATCATAAATGGAGAAGCTTATTGAGGAACAGTTTCAATGGGGCCATGTACTGGAGGAACATCTTTTGATGTGCTGGAGGAGGAGGAGAAATAACAGAAAGGAATTAATAGATAATTTTTCTGAATGATATTTCAAAGCTTTGTGTAATAAGTCACATGATTGTTATGAGACTCTAAGCACTGCACTTGAGAAAAGCTAACATTTTAAAATACGTATTTTTTCTAATCTGCAATTATCTTGGGCTTGGCATAGATAAGCATTTTATAATATCAGTTTTGCAGGGGGCCTGACATAGGCATTCCCTCTGAGAACCAGTTGTGCAAGCAAAGGAGTAAACAGCAGGATTTCTGGAATACTCACTTGTAATATACCTGAACCCTATTCTTATTTCCTAAGGGATTCTGATCATTAAAGACTAGAACATAGATTCCCAAAATTATTCAGTCTGCTCTCCCCTTTTGTGTGAATGGGGGGGGGGGGTTTATTTACTGTCTCCTGGACAGTTAAAACTTTTGTTTTAACTTTTGCACCTTTAACTTTTAACCTTTGCAGACCCCTTGGATGGGGCTAGCATCCACCATGGGGTGATAGCATCCACTTTGAAATACTGTCCTAGAGCAACTCCATAGGAAGTTAGAACCGCCCAGTAGGGTTTCCAAGGCTGAAATATTTAGGGAAGCAGACTTGCACATCATTCTTCTGCAGAAAAACTTGTGAATCTGAACTGCTGACCTTTTTGGTTAGCACCCAGGAACTCAACCACTGATGTCATCCAAGGTTCAAGATCACTTGCAAAGTCATGAATCCTGTGTAGGAATAACACTTCACCTACATAGTAAAGAGATAGGGCAAGTTATTCTGGCGGGGTGGGGAGTGGGGGAAGAGACCCCAAATTCAAATATAATTTATAGACATTGACTCATTCTTAAACAAGACAAAGACAATTTGTTTATCTGGGTGAAGGGGACCATTAGTACAAAGCCACAGTGATGTCCAAAGGTTCACAGAAATGCAGCCAGGTAAATAATATATGAAGAACAAAATAATAACTGGCCACAGATCAATTAATCACAGTTGTTGGTGGGTTTATAGAAGTGGAGAAGGGACCATGATGAGGATTCATGCACTCTTGCAGATGGAAAAACTTCTAATATTGAATCAGAGCCCTCCAACCAAGGCAGTCAGTTGTATGACTCATGACTACATGGACTCTTAAACTCCACAAACCAGGCTAACTGCCACGGACTCGATTCCTGTTCATAGTGACCTTAGAGGACAGAGGGGAACTGCCCTTGTGTGTTTTCAAGGTTGTCAATCTTTATGGCAGCAGAAAATCTCATCTTCCTCCCTCTGATTGGCTGATGAGCTAAAACTGCTGTCCTGTCTGTCAGCTGCCCAAGGTTTAACCCATGGCACCACCAGGGTCCCTGTTCTCACCTTAGTACCCGAAATTCTGTCAAGGACCCACCCAGACAAGTTCATAAGTGCTAGGCTGCCCTTCTCTGTGCTGGCTAAGTGAGAGGTAGTTAACCACTTTCAAACACAATTCTCCCTAAGAGCAAACTGTTTCACATTAATGGTCTGAAAGAATTCAGTGGAGACTGAATCTATGTAAAGACCCCAAAATAGATATAGGCCCCTCATCATCAACTGTTGTTAGGTTGATTTTGTTGTTAGGTTGGTTCTGACTCATAGCAACCCTATGTACAACAGAATCAAACACTCCCCAGTCCTGCGCCATCCTCACAATTGTTGTGCTTGGGTCCATTGTTGAAGCCACGGTGCCAATCCATCTCATCAGGTCTCTTCCTTTTTTTCTTCACTTTCCCAAGCATGATGTCCTTTTCTAGGGACTTCTGATAACATGTCCAAAGTATGTATGTGAGATGAAGTCTCGCCATCCTTGAGTCTACGGAAGATTCAGTCTGTATTTCTTCCAAGACAGATTTGTTTGTTCTTTTGGCAGTACATGGTACTTTCAATATTCTTTGCTAGCACCACAGTTCCAATGCAACAATTCTCCTTGGGTCTTCCTTATTCATTGTCCATCTTTCACATGCATATGAAGCAATTGAAAATACCATGGCTTGGGGTTAGAGCTACCTTAGGCATTAAAGTAGATTTCTGTCTTTGAAGAGATGTTGTGCAGCAGATTTACCCAATGTAATGTGTAAAACAGAAGATTTCCACAAACCTAGTGCTTAGAATTTAAGCAGTATTACAAAGGTCAGCTTCAATAGTGAGCGCTGAACCCATCCCCCGTGAATCTTTCTCTGCAACAACACAGAGCTGGGGTTCTGTGAGCATCCCTCTCAGTCTGCAGGTGAGAAGATCGATTCTTCCCTGTTGGGAACAGATACAGAAACAGGATTGACCAAATGCCAAATTTCCCTATTCATGAATAGACTAGAGAGAGTGACTGTGTACCAGTGTGGGGAGAGAGGCTCCCTGTTGTGGAGAAGAAACTGAGAGAGAACTCAGTTTCCACCGTTCGCTGTGCAAGGCTTGTTGTGATAGGTGCCTTGAGTGGGAGGCACAAGCTTTCACAAATCATTCTCCCAGCAAATATGAAATAGCTTGCTTATATATTTTTTATGTAACTAGTGTACAGAGATGAACCGTTAGGGCTGCTCCTTGACTGCCAAGGCCCTCGGAACATTTGTCGTGTTGCTCTTCCAGCCTCGCAGTGTAGCTTTGCTCTCATGTATAGGTGCTTCCTTAAGATCCAAGGATTTTATCCAGCTTCTGAGTGGTAGAAAAAAAGAAAGGACAGAGGAAGGATATGTCACACTTCCTTAAAAATATTTTTTGGAAATTGCTCACCTCATTTTTGTGCTTTTAGAGTTGGGTAGACATTACTCATTTGGACCCATTTAAATTTAAAGGGAGGCTGAGAAATGTAGTATCCTAGCTTTCTTTTTTCTTTCTTTTTCTTTTATTTAGCTATGTAGCCTTTATAGATTGTGATTTAAAAAAATATTTTAATGAAATAACTACTTCAAGGTCATGACATTATCTTTCTGTGTTTTTTAAACATTTGAAAAACATTTAAACATTTCAAAGTTTTGCTTTTACATTTAGTCCTTTAACCCATTTGAAAATGATTTTTGTAATCTTACCATAGTGAATGATGGGGGGAGTGCGGAGTGGAGATCCAAAGCCCATTAGTAGGCCACTGGAGATCCCCTTGCAGTGGGGTCTCGGGGAGGAGATGAGCCAGTCAGGGTGCGATGTAACAATGATGAGAAATACAACCTTCCTCTAGTTCCTAAAGGTTTCCTCCCCGCTCCCACTACCATGACTCGAATTCGATCTTGCAAGACTGGCTGGACCAGAGGAGGTACACTGGTACAGATAGGAACTGAAAATACAGGGAATCCAGGATGGATGAGCCCTATAGGACCAGTGGTGTGAGTGGCAAAACAGGGAGGGTAAAGGGAGAATGGGT